GTGCCACAACTATTGAAGCCTGCGCGCCTAGAGCCTGTGCTCCACAACAAGAGAAGCCACCGCAATGAGAAGCCCACACACTTCAATGAAGAGTAGCCCCTGCTCACTGCAACTAGAGAAAGCCCGCGTGCAGGAATGAAGACCCAACACAGCCAAAAATTAATTAATTAATTAAAAATAAATAAATAAAATTTAAAACTAATGAGACCCCTAATGATATCTCAACATTGTTCAAAAGGTGTTTATGCATATAGTTTGTATATGACATAGACATAAACTAAAGATTTTATTTTTATCTATGACTATATAAAGTCTGTACTTGTATTCCCAAAACAAACAAGAAAGTAACAAATTGGTATGTATGAAAATGTATTTGCTTTTGTTTGCAGGATGTGAATTGCTTGAAGATAGGAATGGTAATAAGCACTTAGAAATATCTGTTAATATAAGTAAATAGCAAAACAGTGTTCTTGGACTATATTTGAAGGGCCTTAACACGATTAATTTGATTTTAAAAGAGCCAGTCCCCCAAAATGACACATACTGCAAAAGTTAAAAAATTTCTAATCATACTCTTCTAAAGCAATGTTCTCAACATAGTAACATTTGTAATCCCAGTTCCCCAGATTGCCTTGATTACTGGCCCTCCTCTGATATTTGCTATGTAATACATTTGCCAAACTTTAAAACTCTAAAACCTGCTGTATAGGGATCTTTCAAGTATTGTATGAGAAATGATGAAAGAAAGCAGTTTGCTATGTTATTATCATGTTAGTTTCTCTCGGTAGTTCTCTTAGAAATGACAAGCTTTAATGATAAGCTTTTATTTGAGTTGATCAAATATTCTCTGATGTGACTATGTTTTAAAATATATTTGCAATTCTGATTTTTCAGAAATAATCACTTTCAATCAGAGTCGAAACCATAAGAACTTATTCATGCTAAGTGTTGTAGCTTTTTGACATGTAGGAATAGCTGATGTGGGTGAGGTGTCTAGCTTGATGTTTTATCTCTAGCTATTCGTCAGCTAATCCTCCTCCCTACTTCACTGAAAATATTTTCATTCTGTCTGACAAAAAGTAAAAAATTACATTAACTGTGACTAAAAATGTATTGCAGATGACACATTAATGAGACTAATGGTTCTTGCCTTATTCTCTGAAGTTTTCACATTCTTCCCTTTGGTGAACCGAGATCCAGATAGTTTAATAATTATACAAAAGATATCCTTTCTGGGGGCAACTCTTGGGAACAAGGTTGCAATAAAGGTTTTCAGATTTTTTTAAACATTAATTTTAAAACAGCAAAGGGACCAAGTAAATGTTATAACTATATACTAAAAGTCCACTTGGGCAAAATATCTGGATGTGTCCAGTTAATCAAAATAAAGCTTGATGGAAGGTAAAGACAAGCAATGCTGACAAAGGGTTTAGGTCTATGAAGGAAGATTTTTGACTCATCAAGAAAAATTCGGTTAACTTAGCATGAAAGGAGAAATGGTAATATTGTTTATAAAGCATTTGGATTTCAAGGGATGCCATCAATTTATTTCATAATTGTTAAAGGGTAGTAACTTTCAAAATTTTTTTTCATCATTATCAGGATTCAGTATATACTTACTTAATATATATCTGGAATACTTAGCTTTACCTCATGCACCTTATTCTATTTCCTTTTTTTTAAAAAAAATGCTCACAATTCATAAATTGATTTACCCACTAATGGATCATAATCTACAATTTGAAGAATACTGATGAATGATAAACAGAATTTTCTAAGTTTTTTATTTTTCCCTTGGGGACTTAGAACGTAAATATTTTAATTTTATCTCTTTCTAAACCACTCACTTTCTTGGTCCCACCTAAACCTTGTTATCACAAAAATTGCACCAGCTCCAAAATCATACACACAAGTATCCTGTTCTCAGACTACAACAGTCCATCCTTTTAGGTTATATGCCCAAGTACTACCACTACCACTACAATTCTTTTTTTTTTTTTAATATTTCTATAGTGTTATTTATTTTATTTTTTGGCTGTGTTGGGTCTTCGTTGCTGCGCGCGGGCTTTCTCTGGTTGTGACGAGTGGGGCCTGCTCTTCGTTGTGGTGCACAGGCTTCTCATTGTGGTGGCTTCTCGTTGTGGAGCATGGGCCCTAGAGTGCGCGGGCTTCAGTAGTTGGGGCTCACAGTCTCTAGAGCGCAGGCTCAGTAGTTGCGGCACACGGGCTTCGCTGCTCTGCGGCATGTGGGATCTTCCCTGACCAGGGCTTGAACTTGTGTCCCCAGCATTGGCAGGCGGATTCCCAACCACTGTGCCACCAGGGAAGTCCGGCATAAAAGTTTTTAATTTTGATGTAGTTCAGTTTAACTCTTTTTTACTTTTGCTGCTTGTATTTTTGGTGTCATATTTAGGAAAGCCATTGCCTAATCCAAGGTCTTGAGGTTTTACTGCTATGTTTTCTTTTAAAATTTTTATAGTTTTAGCTCTTATAATTAGGTCTATGATCCATTTTGAGTAAATTTTTGTATATGGTGTAAGGAAAGACACTAACTTGATTATTTTGTGTGTGGATATCCAGTTGTCCCAGCACCATTTGTAGAAAGTACTATTTTTTTCCCCATTGAATTGTCTTGGCACCCAGTCAGTGATGATTTATTTACATGTTATTAAATTTAGTATCTAATTTTTCCCCTTATCTTGTTTGACTTCTCAGTAGTATTGACATAGTTGACCATTCTGTTCTTCAAATATTCTACTCTCTTGGTCCACCTTTTACTTATCTTGCTGTCTTTTCAGTATTTATAGGTTCCTTATCTTCCACCAAGCTTCTCAGTGTTGGGTTTTCAGTTATTATGGCTGTGTAACAAATTAGCACAGAACTTAGTGGCATAAAACAATCATTTATGATGCTCATAGTTTCTTTGGACCAGGAGTTAAGACTGGGCAAAGCAGGGTCAGCCTATCTCTGTTCCAGGATGTCTGGGGCCTCAGGCTGGGACTGGTATCATCTGAAGGCCTTTGCCATTACATGTCAGGCAGTTGATAATAGCCATCGACTGGGAGCCTCAGCTGACACCCACATGAACCTGTCCATGTCCCAGAGGGAGGGGAATGGCAGAGGAAGGGGAGGAAAAGGAGAAAAGGGAGGAAGAGAGAAGAGAAAGCCAAGGGGAAGTCTTGTAGTCTTTTATGACCAAATCCCAGAAGTCACAGCATCACTCTTGCCACTTTTTTTTTTTCGTCAAAGTCTCATTCACATTCAAAGAAGGGAAAACAGATTCTGCCTCTTCATTTGGAACGGTAAAGTTCTTAAAGAGCGTGTAGGACCAGAAATATTGCTGTGACCTTTTTTAGAAAAACAATCTGCCACCGTCTGTTCTGGCCGCACAATTCACATCCTTCCCACATGCAAAAAGATCACTCATCCTCCCCACAAAGTCTCCCAAAGTTTCATCCCTTAATGGCATCAGGCTCAGGCTTGGGGTTCAGGATCTCAGTGAGGTCAGGTCCAGGTGAGATTCCTTGGGTATAATTTCTTGATGACAGCTCCTTGAATACAGTTCCATTTGATTTGAAAACTTGGAGACTAAAGAGGCATATTATCTACCCCCTTCCCCACTACTACCCAACATACAATGCGTATGTTGGGAAGGTACTTACTATTCCAAAAGGGGGAAAACAGGAGGCACATAGAAGTCACTGGTCCATAGTAGTCCTCTTTTTATGTTTTCTCTATGTGATCTATTCTATTTCCATAGTTTAAAAAAAATTTTTTTTTTTTTTGGCCACGGTTGGCGGCTTGTGGGATCTTAGTTCCCACCACTCCCACCCCCCCAGGGATGGAGCCCATGCCCCTTGCAGTGGAAGTGCGGAGTCCTAAGCACTGGACCGCCAGGGAATTCCCCTCTATTTCCATAGTTTTAAATACCATCCATACATTCATGACTTCCAAATTTCCTAACATCTCTGAGATCCACACTAAAATATATAATTAGCCATCTGACACCTTCACAAGGATATCTCACAGATTTTTCCAACTTAACATGGCTAAAATGAATTCTTATTTTCTACTTTACCCTTTTCCTCCACAAATCTGTCTTTTCCTGGTTCCTCCATCTAGGTGAATGATGCCACCATTCACCGAGTTGCTCTGGCCAAAACCTAGGACTCAGGCTCATTCTTTTCTGTCTCTCACCTCTACATTACAGTAATCAGCAAGTTCTATATTTTCTTTCTCCAAAATCACTTTTTTTTTTTAATCTCACCTGGATTACAACAGTCTCCTTATTGGTCACCCTCATTCATTCTTGCTGCCATCCAATTTTCTTTGACACAGCAGTCAAAGTAATATTTTAATTAATATGTCTGGTTATGACACTGTCTAGCTCACAATCTTCAGTTACTTCCCCCTGCATTTGGAGTAAAAGATCCATATAACTGGCCTGTTCCTGTTCCTCTGACCTTATTCCTCACTACTTTCCCCCTTACCCACTATACTTTATCTTCTCTGGGCTTCTTCCGGTTCCTCAAACATACCAAGCTTTCAGAAGGGGCCTGTACACATGCTGTTTTCTCTGCCTGGAATATTCTCCCCCAGCTTCCCACTCCCACATAACTGCGTCTTTCTCATCCTTTGAGGTATATGGCATTCCTGACTATTCTAAGTAGGTACTTCCCTTTAATACTTTCTATCCTATTTGTTTCCTTTATAAAATGTATCGCAATTTTAAGTTATATCCTATCTGTTTACTTATTCATCATCTGTCTCCCTAAGCCTCCCCAGGTCAGGGGCCATAGCTGTGTTATTCACCAGTGTATACCCAGTGCCTAGGCGACTGCCTACCATATAATATGCTCTCAACAAATATGCAGTGAATATTATTTAAAGGTATAATTTTGTTTTGAGACAATGTTAATAATTAATAAGTAATTAGTAATAATTTAAAATGTGATGGTTCCTAATTCTTACTGAAATAGCCTTTTATTTTTCTCTTTTAGTAACTGCCCTTCCTTTCTGGCTGCTGCTTTAGCCAGAGCCACATCAGATGAAGTCCTTCAGAGTGATCTTTCTGCACATTATATTCCAAAGGAAACCGATGGCACAGAAGGGACTGTGGGTAAGTACTTTTCTCCATTATTTGTTTTAAAATATTAAAATCTTCTCCTGTGTAGTGATTCACAGAAAATGTCTACAAAATACTGTATCTAATTATGTTTACCCACTGGTTGATTTTATAGTAGTAGCAAGAGGAAAAAAAAGCAAAAAACAATTTTTCAAACTAATCAATAAAAGTAGGGAAAAGGGGGAAAAATACAAGCATATTTTGAAACCATATGAAGGTAACTGGAGTGAGAGATTATTGTAACAGTATGTTATCATAAATAATACCTAGATAAATGGAGAGAGTAAATGAGAAATGTGAAGCCACAACAGAAAAGATGAGTAAGTGAGGGCAAGGAGAGTTTGAGCAAAACCTATTTTCAAATTTCAGCTTGTCTTTAAGAAGTCAAGTAAAAAAATCATATATACAAATTCAAGAAATCAGTTGTAACAGAACTTCTTATTAATTATATTAAATTTTATATCTACCAATAAGTAAATAGAGCTCTTTATGACAATTATGTAATGTGATTTAATTGCCTGGATCATTGTACATCTTTTTTCCAGGTAAATTATGAGGCTTTAATTATTAACGAAGGCATGTTTATTAATGTGTTAGGCTTATTATACATATTTGACAGACTAAAAAAATACCAATTGTTGTAAAAATTAGGGAATGGCTACTCAAAATTGTTGGGAATTTTAATATTTCACTCTGTTTGTTCTATTTTAAGCATTTGCCTTTAAACATGGTGCAGAAGGAACAAAGCATATATTAATGAATCAGGACAGCTGGATTCCAGCGAATGTGAGGCAGATATAAAAATAAACATTCCTGTTCTTCCTTTATCTCTCTAGATAATTTTTGATAGAAAACTGGCAAAGAAGGAATTCCTCTGCTTGTTTTTACTGAGAGTAATTGATTCACTTGGAACCAAATTGTTCCAGAGTCAAGTTGGATGGAATTCCTGCTACAAAGCATTGGTCTTTCCTCTTGTACTGATGCATGAAGCAAAAAAGCCCTATAATGAAAAGATGAGGGAGATTAAATTCTGCTTCACTGCAGCCAGGGTGATGGCTGACTCAGCTCCAGCTCAGTACAGTGACATTAACGACTGATGAGTAATTTACAGCTGTGAGGGGGTGGGCTGCTACTTTGGACAATTTTCTCTTTTTTGCACCCTTTTTAATTTAATTTAATTTTTCCATTTCAAGCAGCAATTATTTATATACTGATGTTCTTACACCACTTCCTGCAGGAGAATACTTAACGTAGCAAGATGGAAGTGTTGCCCTATGTGCCTACTTTGGAAGAACTTTCTGAACTCCCATAAGATAGCAAAAGTGTAATTAAGGATTTTTGTTTTGGTGGATATCAGTGGTCATTCAGATTTCATATTTTTCCAAGAGACTACCCAGTAATGTCTCCATGCCACTGCTGTGATTCAGAATGATCTATTATAGTTCCAAACTGTTTGCACGTCCTTAATCTATTTAACCCAAATCACTCAGTGTGAACTGCACTGAGGAGAATCTCTACAGGGCATATTGTGTTTAGCCATACATCAGAGTGGGAAATGAGCATACTGAATAAGGCCTGCTGTCATTGTCTTAAAGGCACTGAAGTTCCCACTGGAATGCCCTTTGACTTTTCTCTTAGGTGTTTCCAAAAACAGACTTAAAAGAAGAAAAATCCTTACCTTAAAGTTCTTTTTATGTTTATGTCATCCCTAACAATGTTTGTTAAACAACCTTGCATTTCTGTTGGCAGACATAACTCCTGTCCAGACAACCTAAAGTCAATTTAAAATATCCCAATGTAAAAGTTAAAAACAAGAAGGTGAAAATGATCACTCATACAGAGGATATTAAAAGAAATTATGAAAACTTTGTGAAAATAAATTTGAAAACCTGGGTATTTTCTAGAAATATACAAGTTAACAAAAGAAGAAAGAAGAAAGAAATTGAGAAGATTGTCAAAAAGGACAAAAGGAGTAGGTGATTCTACAGGTGAACATTTTCAAACAAAGACAGATAATTCCATTGCTTTTTAAAATGAATTATCCAATTGCATAGGGAAAG